TTTCACGGTGTATAATTTACCTTTTCATCATTACTGTTTCATTAGAAACACCGACGCAGCTCACACTAGTTTTTAGCTAGTTATATCTTTTTACAAAACAAACATTTTGGCTAATATTTGCATGCCCATGTATATTTATTTAGGTTTTTCTTGACCATGCTCTATGGGTGCTGTTTGCAAACATGTGCAATGAGACTTTTTCAAAACCGTTATTTTGGTGGTGCTTTCAAACATGGTTGACCATGGTAAACCATGGTATTGATATTGCTTTCAAACGTGGTTAACCATGGTATACCATGGTATTGATATTGCTTTCAAACATGGTTAACCATGGTATACCATGGTATTGATATTGCTTTCAAACATGGTTGACCATGGTATATCATAGTATTGATATTTCAAACATGGTTGTCCATGGTATACCATGGTATTGATATTGCCTCCAAATATGGTTGTCCATGGTATGCCATGGTATTGATATTGCTTTCAAACATAGTTAACCATGGTATACCATGGTATTGATATTGCTTTCAGACATGCTTGACCATGATCAACCATGGTATTGATATTGCTTTCAAACATGGTTGGCCATGATCAACTTGAGAAACTGACTGACCTTGCTTGACCATGGTTAAACTTGAACAATTTAACGTTCATGGTTGACCATGGTCAAACCATGGTCACATCATGGACAAACCGTGGTCAACCATCGCCAGAAATTCCGAACGAACTCGAGCTTCAAATATCTGAAACTTGACACTATACGAATTGCCCAAGGCGGTATTTAGTAGAAGAAATGTACAGAGCTTTTTGTTATTTACTTAAATTGTGTGTTTCACGCTTATGCAGGCCGCCTTCCCGTACTTTAGTTACAATAACATGCTCTCTAGCTTTCATTTGATAATAAATTTACTTAATTTATTTTAGAAACTACCTCGTTTGAGACATTGTCAAAATAGTAATATTATCTTAGGATCGACTACAGAGACAGCGTTGTAGAGCCTCATACCTTGCTATTTTCAAACACTTAGCCCTAGGAATAGAAGTTGCGTGTCTCTCTTCCCAGACCCTCGATCGAAGCCTCAAACATGCTTCAAAACAGTGACCATGTTTTTTTATGAAATACTCCGAATATTCACCACGTTATTTAAAGACTGAATAGGCATACCTTTGAAATTGTTGAGTGCGCCATTTTGTAATACAGCATGGTAGTTAACGATGAAAAAGAACGGATTTTTTCGCCTTGATTGTAGTTTCTTCCCTCCATTTTGAATAAATATGCTACAGGCGTTCTTTGTTTGTACGCTAAGAACTAGTAACGAGTGTAAATGGGACGTTTTGATTGGTTAACATAATTCTCGCGCGAAAATAGATAAAAAAATTAATACAGAGAAAGAAATACACATCTACCGTCCATGTAATAGATATATAATGTCCGATGTGCCACCGTTGAGAGATCCTTTATGCCTTTTTACTGATTGTCCCGAAAGCAAATTGAAATTTGTAAGGATACAGCTTGAAAGCGGCAATGAAGTAGTGGCTTGGTTAAAGGTACAGTGCAAGGCGTTCTTGGAGTGGCGTAGTCAAAAGACTAAAAAAGTAAAGTACATCGATTTGCTGAATAAAATAATACCTGGAAACTCGATCCAGATAAACCGAGAAAGTGCACGGCTAGAAAAGCGGCTATACAACATTTCTTGCGAAGTAGAAGAAGAAAGAAAAAGGCTGAACTCAAGTGGGTCAGTTGATGTAAGAAACAGCTTACCACTCTCCAACAAAACATTATGTATACTGAAGCAAGACATCGTAAATGTTTCTCAATGGAAAAGCTCAATATGTTCTCTAAAACTGGAGATAGAAAAGGCCGCAACTGAAATTTGTACACAGAAAGAAAAAATGGAAGAAATAGAAAAAAAGAAGGAAGAGTTATTTATTCAAATAGTGCAGGAAAAAGAAAAAATGAAAAATTGCCAGTCTGACATAAAGACTCCTTAACAAGTGAACACCAGGCTCTAAAGAAGCATTTACGAGAAATAGAAAGGGAGCAGCATGAGGCAGTAAGGGGATTGCCCATAGCAAAACTTAAAACAAAACAGTCACAAAATAGAAAACTAAAGCAGCTGAAAACAAGGGCCCAAAAAGCACTTTACTTCACAAATCTCTTTGGTTTGGAGCTAGAGTACTCAAGCTGCAGGATAAAGAAAGCTCAAAAGCATTCTTTGTAAATTTCAATGAAAATAGCCCTGCCAGTATTTCTTCTAGTTCCTCCAATGCTTCCTCACCTGTATCACAGTCACTGACAGAATCTGAATCCTTTGTTCCTGAAACCCCAACAAACAGTACAATTTCCTTACAATTGGACACTCCACCTGATGATTCCCCCAGTACCCCACCCACTAGTGCAGAATTTGTAGATCCTGGTTTGATGTCTACAGCAACAGGTCCAACAGCAAATACAACCAAGCAGCCAAAATACTGCACACTAGATGATGATGAGAAAGGAAAGATAGAAAGTATTCTCTTTCTTTTGGATAAGTTTGGAGTGGGGGATGCTTTTCTTCATGAGTTGACCTTGCAAACTGAAAGTCTTCCCAAGTCTTACCTCATCAAACAATGTAGGAGTGAATTGAATAAGCAGTGCAAGATTACAACAACACCAGGGAAAGCTCCAGGCGCTCAGTATTCTTTCAAATTTCTACTTAGTGATCATATTCGTGAAATGGTGAGAATTTAATGTTTTGGAAATATTTTTTATCAGTTGAAATAAATTCATATAAATATTTATTATTATTATGGTATTAATTTTCCTTTTGGTTTGGCTTTTTACCTTAGAAAAAAAAAGGGATTACTTAAGGATGAAAAAGTTAGGGTGGAAATTAGTGGTGATGGTGCACGGATGAGTCGCTCAAGCAATTTTGTTCTCCTGAGTTTTTCCTTCCTACAAAGTCTTGAAGATTTGCTGTCCTCTAAAGTTAACAAATTAATAATGAAATAATAAGAATAAGATTAATAAAAATAACATAATAAAAGTAACATTATTATTATAATAAATATTGCTATTATTATTTTATCAAAAACATAAAATTATATTGACAATTTAAAATAAAAATTACATTTAATTCAATTATTTTGTTTGTTTTTGCCTTTGCTTTTGTTGATTAGGTAGTCATACATTGGTTGTAGTGAATGGCCCAGAATCAAGAGAAACTTTAGAACAAAGTTTTAAAGATTGTTTCGAGGAGATCAATGATGTGGCAGACTGTGGGCTATCAAAGTGGATGATGAAGAGATTGAAATTGAACTCTTTCTTGGAGGAGACTACAAGGTACTAAAAATATGTTCAAATGTTTAAAAATTTTGAAGAGAAAAAATCAAGCTTTTTATGTTGTATAAAAAGAATAAACAAGTTCAATTTGTATAACTTTGGTATAAATTTCAACTTTTAGTTTGTTTTGATGGTAATGGGTTTGGCTGCAGCTAATTCAGACTTTGCATGTCTATGGTGTAAAGTTTACAAGAAAAACAGGTGAACATTGTGATTCAATAAAAATCCATAACTATGTGAATGTGATTATAATATTTGCATGGATAAATCTATGGTCAATATTTTTGTATTCATTAGAGGTGACATGTGCAAAGAGGATGAGTACTATGACAAGGTACCACTCAAAAGGACCTTAGAAGAGATAAAGGAAATGTCTGCCTTGTGCTCTGGGGAGAATTTCTGTTGTGTGCATCAGCTTTTACTTAACATTCCTTTAGATCACATTATTCCAGATGAGCTGCACTTAATGCTGAGAGTCACAGACATTCTCATCAAGAATTTGATAGAGGATGCCATGCAATGGGATGACAAAGACAAGGCTACTGGAAAAATGAGTTCTAAGGGAATGCACCTGGAGAGACTCATAGCAACTATTCGTAGTTGTGGAGTCTCTTTTTCAGTTTGGGAAAAGGCTAATGCTGATGGAAAAGGCAGTGGAACCTATGACTTTACAAGTTTAATGGGAGATGACCGGAAGAAGCTGCTAAGAACTCTTCCTGATAAGCTAACATCTGTGATTCAACCAAGCACTGAAAAGGATGTAGCTGAACTTTGGAAGGTATTTCATTCATTTAATTTGGATAAAAAGAGGATTATTTATTTAACTTTTTCAATATCTTATAAATTTTAAACTATATTTTCAGGCCTTTGGTGACATATATTTCAACTACTTGTCAACTTTTGACCAAGTGAATGTATTGGAATACCGTAGAAAGGTAAGTATAACAATAAGTTAGTTCTATATGCATATTTCATACTTAGAATTTGTTCCTTTTGTATTCAGATCAAACAGTGGATTGAGAGCTTTTCTAAGCTGGGTGACAAAAGGGTAGGATATGGTCATGAACGAGTCACCTGCTATTTGCACATGGCAGCATACCATATCCCAAGCATGCTAAAGGATTATGAAAACATTAAACAGTTCAGTGGTCAATGTAAATTATAATTATTTGCAGGTGTTGAAAAGAATAATGATGATGCTAGAAGGATCGTTCAGAGAAAAACTAATCCTACAGACGATCCAGCAGAAATACTACGAACAGAGTACCGCCTTCATGCTCTTCTACATCATGAAAGACAACCAAGACAGTACACCAAGAGATGTCTTGTGTATTGGCAAACTGATATAAAGAAATATAGGGGCAAATGCACAGGTATCAGTTACAAGAAACCAGTTGAGTGTGAGGTAGAGGAAATGCCAGACACAACAGAACCTCAAGAGGTGGGAGAATTAGCTACAATAGTGCCAGAAACCAGTGAAAAGCAAAACCAAAATAAGCGAAAAAGAAAGAAAGTTGCATCCTCAAAAAGAAAAAAGAAAGCAACAAAGAAATAAACTGTACATATACATAAAGCCAAAGATAAATATAATATACTTGTATGTTTATATGCATAATGGTAGAAAAAACACCTACTGTGAAACAGCACTATATACACTGTTTCATGCTTGCAGTGTTTGTATTTTAGCACAACAATTTGATATGACAAATTTCATCATTTCAAAACCTCTTCTGACAAGCTAATAATTATTATTTATGTGAGGGTGCAAATCATATAGCTGTGAAATAGCACTAACTGTTTTAGTACTAAGGATTAAGTGCTAGTTTTTGCTATCAATGTTTGTGCTATTCAATGGATATATGGTTTACACACTAATATATATTTTCCTATCAGTTATTCTGAATCATCCCCAAGGGCAACCCTCACAAATGATATGGTCAGTTTTTCCTGGTATGCCCTAGGGGCCACAACAAAAGAGCCATTATTTGCTAAGCAATATTTCTTGGGTGACCAATAAATAAAATGCCTCATTTTAAAGGGATAAAAAACTTTAACCCCTTGCCCATGGGCATCTGAGCAACAGTCCCAACCATTGGGAAAAAGGTGAGCTGGGAAGCTGCCTTTATTGACATAGTGCCAGCCATTTTTAATGTATCCCTTTTCCCTGGAAGAGATATCTATATATATCTCCTCGCAAGAAAAGGGTCATGGGCAGGCGGCTTTTTGATTTTAGATGTTGCTCAACAGCAACCCTCAGCTTTGCCGTTTCCTCAACAAGTACATCCAGAGACGGCTTGGGCAATGAGAACATTCTTAAACATAAACAAACTAATGTCAGGAACAATTCATTATGAATGTAAAAGCTTTAGTTTTGGTATTAACAAATATATTTGTGATAGTTTTGATAATGTATAGTTTTACTAATGTCTATAACTCATAAAAGGCATTTTATTCATTTATCATAAGCGGGTAACAAAAAAGATTCAGAAAAAGGTACAATAAATCTATGTAGGCTTGATTTTATGTGCATACCTTAAGCTAAATATGCCGTTGCACTTAATTATAAAAAGTTTATACAGTAAATGAACAGCAGATACATGCGTGCAGATAAATTAATGTATTGTTGCAAAGGGTTCGTATGATTAACTATCTATCTTGATAAAAAGCATTTTGTATGTAAGCAGGGATAGAACATACGTAGTGAGAGGAACATACCGAATACATTCGTCTGTAATATTTTCTTCTGGTTCCCACGTAGCGTCATAAGGACCGTATCCTTTCCAATTGTACAAGGAACTCATAGGACTGTTCAGAACAATAACGTAGACAAATTTACTTTAGACATTTTTAGAATAAAGAAACTATCTTACAGTTACTGATTTCAATTGCAATATTTGCATGACTTAAGTTAAGTTAAATTGAACTTGTTTCCTCACCTTTTTATCTTGTGAGCGTCTCTTTTGAACGAGGCGATCGACAGCCCAGAGTTTCCCGTGTCCTTTCACTCTTTTCCCCCGTATTTGCGGCAGAATATCCACAGAAGAAGTAACATTTAAAGCCGAATAATATCCCTTCTCTCGACGAGACGCCATATTGCAAATAGAAAAACTCTATAGTCACGTGATAACAGTCCAATCATAAGCGTTTAAACACAATTGTTTTATTGACGTGACAAAAACTTATAAATAATTAGCTCCGCCCAAAATGGTTCGGAATTTCTGGCGATGCATGTTTGCTTGACCATGTCCTAACATGTTTTAATCATGTTTGACCATGGCCCTAATGGCTTTGAAGAAGAAGATAAGAAATTCCATTTTCAACTGAAAACTGGACAAGTTTAACCTACTTGTCTTACTCTTTGAAGCCTGGATCAGATCTAGAAAGATTTCTGCTCTACTTCGTTTGCAAGAAAAATCGATATTTTAAGTCTTCAAAGCATCAGAAAACGTATCCGATTCAAAAAATAGAGGATATTACATGGGCGCGTGGAGATACGAAATTTATCTTCGAGTGTTGAAAAGATCTCTCACGAGTGAGCGCAGCGAACGAGTTAGAGATTTTCAACACGAGAAGATAAATTTCGTATCTCCAAGCGCCCACGTAATATTCTGTTTATTATATAATTATCCATAAAATCAACTTAACAAGCTTTTTATTATTATAAAAAGTTTTTATTCTTAAACTAATAGCTTAAATACACATGGTAACGATATTTTCACATGTGAAAATAACATGTTATTTTCACATGTGAAAATATCGGTTTTTTGAAAAGCAGAAATATAGGTATTTAATGGATAATTATATGATAAAACATATTAATTAATACGTATTTCCTGTCTAGAAGAAAGTGACCTATTCTTGAGTTGGTCAACGACAATTTTTGGAATTGACTGTTTTCAAACCAATGCCTTTGTATTGCGCGCTGCATAAACGAGACATTTTTTTTTTAGTTTGCTTGCTTTATTACTGGTCAAGTGTTTATATTTATGTGTACATAAGCCTTAATGATGATTGGTTAACTTACGATGTGGGTTTTAAAACAACATGGGGAAAAAGTTCCATACTTTTACAGATAAAGGTAAACAGAATGTGGACAGTTTTAAAGCATTTTCCTTCGATTCGTCTATCCACGTGCGTCATCCAAACTGGTCTAGTTTGCAAAAGACTTATAACAAGCTCTCTTAGAAAAGGGATTTAAATGATTAAAATTGAGATTAAAATGATGAAACAAGAAAAGTAAAATGTGAAAAAAATGGCCATGATGTACAATAACCAGTAAACTCAAATAACATACGTATCTTACATCACTATGATTATTAATGGTGGGACCCTGGGAAATGAAAAAAAAAAAAATGTTTTGAGTTGTGAAAAAGTAGGTCCTAGAATCTTTGATCCCATCGTTGCTTTGAAACTAATGTAAGAGAACCATCATACAATTTACATCAGCACTTTTTTGTACTAATATCTTTAAATCAATCAGATGGGAAATCCTTTGTCATTTATGCCTTTGGTTCCTTTTCAATTTCTGTAAAGTTTAAATAAAATAAAACATATATAAATGATGTCACCAGTTTATCTCATTGCTCACGCAAACAGAAAGAAAATAGAAAAGGAGGCGGGTAGATAAACGGACATGGAAAAGGAGAGAAAGACAGGCGGAGTCACGGAGGCACAAAGGAAAGGAAGAAAAGAGGCACTGGTGCACAAAGGGACTCACCTTACTTAATTTCAGGGACAGGAAGCATCAAGAATGTCCTTTAATTTCTCTGACAAAGCGTTGAAGTCTTTGACATGGAAAACATGTTTTCTTGAGATTTGTCGAAGCTCACTATCATTTATTCCTTTACCAACGCCAACGGCTATCATTTTCACCTTTTTGGCCTATTTGCGAGAAGAAGAAAAAATTATAAGCTCAGGTTAAAGAATTTCTTTAAAAAAGCCCCTGAATGTAATACATCGTTACGACGTACCAACAAAGGCTTGAGGACGGTGGAATAAGGTAAGCTTCCTCGGTTGGTCTTGCCATCGGTCAAAACAAACAATACGTTTGGTACGTTGCTACGGTAACCACCACGCGAAGAGTACAGGTCACTATTGGCAAGTTGCAAGGCTCTGTCAGTACGCGTTCCACCTTGCAAGTACTTGATACCTTTATGGACAGAAAAAAATGATATTATTAAACGATTGGAATTCAAGAATTCAAAATTCAGTAAGGGCAGTAGTCAGGGGCAGCCAGGTTCTCTCGGTTGTATCATGCAGAACCAATTAGCCAATCAGCAAACGTTTTGTTCGTAGTTTAAGATTTCCTAATCCTAAGTTTTCAACTAAAAATAAACGTCTATAACCCGAAAATAAAGAAAATAACCACACCCGTGAAAAGATTTACCAAATAACTTTTTGAAAAAGCATATTTTGTCGTCGTTGGTGGAAAATATTTTGTTTTATGGAGATAATAGAAAACGCTTGGAAGCTTTTGAAACTTTAGTTTTATATTTTTCGTCTTCATGGCTGATGTGGTAGTTTTATAATTTTTTAAAACAATTGGTTCTGTAAGGTCAGTCGTTTGTCAGTTGTTTTCTCGAAGATCAGTCGAGCATTTGAGTGTTTTGTTTTTGCCTTATTGGGTTTGGATCGTCTGTAAGGCTAGCTTGTTGGTCCACATGGTCGATGGGTCGGCCGGTCGGTCGGTCGGTCGGTCGGTTTGTTTGGTGCCTGGTTTATTGTATATCCCTGATCACTAATTTGATGCTTTAAGTAATATATACAGTATGAGTGGCCGTGTTGTAGCGAGGCGTAGCCCAGAGTTTGTATATCGGATACAACACGGACACGAATACTGTAGATTGCTTATCAAACGTCTAGGTTAGTTCCTTTGTGTTTCACTAAAATTTTCAAAATTAAAGTGAATCTGCCCAAGAATATCCAAGTTAAAGTTTATGCAAATTAACACAGTTTTGTATCAGATTTACAACACTCTTCACGGTCGTGATTTCTATTGTGTTTTCCTCATGAATTATTAATGAGTTTGATAATTGAGATTTGGTCGATTGTATTTAAGGTCTTAACGGGTTATGTTCAATCCATATTATTTTCACTCACCATAAACGCGATTCATCAAGGTTTTAGAATTCTGTACAGCAGCGTCATTAAATCTGAAGATGGTGTTTGCCGCTGCATTATAGGCGATGACTCCGAAACGAGTGCCTGAAGACGCATACTCAAAATGGCTGATCAAACTTGCTACAAAGTCTTGAGATTTCCTGAAGTTCTCGGCCCCAATGCTACCTGATCGATCCATTATGACTCCTACATCCATTGCCTGATGACAAGGAGGACTTGCCGGCTTTTTACCTATTAATAATATCAAAACACACATCTATTATCAATGGTAAAATTGCGATACGTAACGTGGATGGCGTAGTGGTTTACCACTCGCCTTTCACCGCTGTGGTCCGTGTTTGAGACCTGGCTCAGACTGGATCTTATGTGAGTTGAGTTTATTTTATGTGTTCTCTCTTCCTTGCCACTAGGGTTTTCTCCGGTTTCTCCGGTTTACCTTCTCCGTAAAAATCAACATGTGATTTGAGTGTTGTATGTTGTAAATATAGAATGTAGTGGTAGTGCGTGTGGAAGGAACCTCAAGGAAGAGCTAGCCCCGTACTGGGAGAGTGGTGGTTGTGAAATATATGTTTATATATATTAAGTTTAAATTCGCGATTAAAAAACTTTGTCAAATAAGCTTAGACACCTTTCAAAGTTATCTTGGAAGCGAAGGTAACAGAAAAACACAAGAAAAACTATACTTATTCTCGATAAAATTGTCACTTTTCATATATTTTCCTATTAGCTTGCTTAGTTCCAAGATAATTATCAAAGGTCTGTGGCGTACCTGTTGGGCATCCATACATCCCCACTCGCATGGAGATGTGACTGTACCAAGACTTAGGCCTCAAACGAACGTACTGAGCCACAATCGGTGTTGGGAGTTTATGGCTGACAACTGAATGACGGTCGGTGTTTGCAGCAAATATCTAAACGTGACAAGGAAAAGGGCCTTAATAACAATGATCTTGGGGAAACAACGTTGCTTTGTATAAACAGATTCGTCGATCCTTAGCTCGTCCCCGTGCTTCTCACACTTTCGAAACAGTTGCTTCTTCTTCGTATACGCAGATGAAAGAGCCAATGACCAATTGTTTTGACTTTTTTGCATCATATTTTATTTATTGACTAGTAACGCTTATTATTTAGTATAATCCGATGCATATCGATAAAGGCACGTTTACACTACGGGCGATTTTTGCAGCATTTGATCATAGTTTAAAATGGTAAATGATTAACAGTTGTAAAGTTTAATTCCGGACACCAAGATTACCTGAAAATGTCTCTTTTGAAGCACAAGACAAAATGTATTTCATTTTCCAAAAACGCGCCAAAATCACACCTTAATTTACCGCAAAAATCGCAAATGTAAACGGGCCTTTAAGAGCCAGGGTTGATCTGTATGGTTATAACATGTTGGACTGAAAAGTACCATCATTATCAAGGCAAAAAAAGAAGATTAGGTCTAATATAACATTCCGCAAATCACATTTGTTAAGAACTAGACCTCGACATTTTCGCTTACCTTCGCAACTTTGCCCACACTGTAAGGGGTAAACCGGACGCCATCTTGGCTGTATTCTACCGTGTAGGTCCTGACCCACTGGTTAGCATCTTGACGACCCTGAGTAGAAATGCGTGTAATCTTCATCTCTCGATCAAAGTCGACAAGCAGCCATTGATTGGCGTTGTTATGACGTGCAGACCAGGCACCAGTCCTTCCTCCTCCAGCAACGAAGTCCAGCTTGCCGTTTGCAGCTCTGTGATTGTAATTCCAGTCCGAAGAAGAAGACAACATCCAGTCCCCAAGGTTAATGGCGCCAGCACAAGATGGCGTTGGTGGAATAGGGAAACCTTAAATCAAAACAAAACATCGAATTTGTCCCACTTAAGAAATATCCCAGAAAGCTTAATTTTTAAAAAAAATTAATTATTAGGTTATCGTATCAAAAAATCGGTGCGACTTCTAGCCTAACAAAAGGTTTTTGTAAAAGCCTCCAAAATTGACTAAAAAAGGACTGGCCATTAATGACTATTATGTTGAGGGGCAAATTCAAAATTTTCCGACTACGAATAATTAGTATTGTAATTACTTTTATAGGTTATGCGGATGGATCAGACTTATCGAAGAGTTATCAAACGTAACCCTTCAGGGGCAAGAGTTCTGAAGCTCAAACACAGGTGATTCTATTACTTACCACTTGTACATCCGTAGATTTCGAATCTCATAGAAACGTGTCCATACCAAGACTTGGGACGGATCCTGATGTATCTTGCAATAATGGCGGGCTCCAAAATATGGCCAACTATACTGTTTCGGTCACTATTTCCCTTTAACACCCGACCTCCTTGGTAGTCTTCAAAATGACCTCCATCCATGCTGTATTGCACCGTATAGGTTTTTACCCACTGGTTATAATCTTGACGGCCTTGTGTTGCGATACGAGTAACCTTGACAACTCGGCCTATATCTACTTGTATCCATTGGCCAGCATCATTGGTTTTTGCCGACCACGCGCCTCTCTTGGCGCCTTGTCTAACTGTACCGAGTCTTGCCCGTGATGGTGAATGGTTAGCATCAAACGTGGAAGAGGCTTTGATACTGGAATCAGGGATAGTTTTTCTCTGCATTCCAAGAGCAGAAAGGCAACTTTC